TCTTGCTATTTCAGTTTACAAGATACATTTGGGCTGGATTGTCATAGGTATCCAGCAGAGAAATATTCTAGCAGCAATGAGGTACTTAGAACTTGACTCATTTTTCTCATGAAGTTAAGTGGGGTTTTTTGGAAAATGTTCATGTGGTAAAACATGAACACTTTTTTGAAACATCTTGGTTTCTCTGAAACCTACTATGGATTTCAGTCAGCTTGTGCAGAACCAGTACATGATGTGATTTTTCCACGGCCCTTGGATTTTGACTGCTCTGCTATGCCGAACACCCTTCCACAGCACTGCTGGCTGAGAGCTCCCGACACCCAGCCTACCCTGCTCTTCTCCTCCATGGTGCAGAGTCTTGAGAACTCAAGTGAAGAACAAAGTTTTCCAGATATTTTTTGCTGTGCAGGCAGAGGTCTGACAGCCATAATCAAAGCTATCAACTTCTTAAGTTTGCAATCCTTCTAGTTTTTTTAAAAAAATATGCGTTTTGGAATTTGGGGATTTTCAACAAAACAAAAACTTGAAGGTTTGGCTTAACTCATGCTTAACTCACCTTGGAGTCAACAAAGAAAACACAGTTATGTTTCCCACAGATATCTTTTATCTGTCTGTGGATGTTTCCATATTTTATATTACCACCCTTTTATTAATGTGGCATTTACATGTAAATCCTGTTTCTGATTGTGAGAGCCTATAGACCTATAATTCCATGGAACATAGACTCTGTATTATTTTGAATATTGCTGTGTCAAAATAAAGCTAGAAGCCTAGATTTTTTTCATAAATTCAGACCCATAAATTATTCCCTCCTTTGCTTAAAATGCCAATAGCAAAATGTAAATGTCGAGAAGTATAAAGCTGAGCATATAATTAAAGTGATGAAAAAAATGACTAGTAATTAAAGTTATGAAAAAAAAACGGTTCTTCCTTTTTTAACTGGAAAAAAAAGTCATTGTACTGTTCCATGCATTGCCCTATTTTTATATCAAGAGCATACACTGAAGTGATTTTAGTACTTGTTTCTGAATAAATCATTAATTTGGATGGAGAATTCTTCACCTGAATTAAGTCAGGTGAAGAATTAGTTCTCCTCTTAAGCAAGTTAGGTTTTCTGGTTTACATGTGATGAGTTTTGGGGGTGAAGTGCAGTTTTTTCTCTGCTTCACTTAGAATTGAAAGATTGCAAATGTCTTTTGCTTCATTTGATTGAGTATCTGACCAGTGTTCTTTCATTGTTTTCCTCTTTAATCAAAGTATGAAAACTTCCACTTTTGTTCACTTAATAACATTTCTTTTCATTCAGTCTTGAGCCTCCTTACTTCAGAGATAAATTTTTAATGCTAAGAATTTCTTTTTAATCCTTTATTGTAAAAGGTGATCAAAGCATTTTCCCAAAATGAGATTTTGCAATATACTTGCTGTATCCATGAAGTTGAGTATGAATGGTATTGCAAAACTGTCCTTTTACAGGAAACTAAACCCAGTTTTGTCAGTTTTACTTTAATAATACTGTTAAGCTGTATGTTATTTTACCTACTATAATTTACTACAATACTACTATAAAATTATAACTTAGCTTTAACATCTGTAATTATTGATTAGAATATCATTGTTCTGTAAGTATAGGAAGCAAAGTTGACCCTGAGTCTTAACTTTCCCTAACTTTTCTTCCAAGTTTCACAAAAACTTACCTTCATTTCTCTCAGGTTCTTTATTTATGCAAAGAAAATTATACTGAATGTCTCTACAGTGTCTTTATGTACAGTAGTGTAGCTGAAGCGTGTTGATAAGGCCAAAGTGAATTTCAAAGATCGTACAGCTTCTTTTTCTGCTGCTTCTGATGAAGAAACCTCCTGTGCCAAAAGCTTTTTTTTTTTTTAAACTTAATTAGTTGGTCCATTAAAATGTATTCTCTGTCCTAAAAACCTGCCCTAGTAATTTTGGAAAAATACTTGGAGCTGAACAAATTTTAGTGTTAAGGAAGCCAGTAGCAAAACTCTTAGTGAGTACTTTTGAAAACTCTGTTCCACATCTGTTCAAAAGCAGTGTTTAGAAAGGATTTGGGGGCATGTTTTCCTACCTTTCTTCATTCTTATTACTTTGCTGTCCCATGGAGCTGCCTTCGAGAAGAATGGTTGTAGCTCACAACACTCCCATTCTTTTCGTTTCAACATGAGCTGAAACATAAAGCAGTTTACAGAAGTCAGTATCCAATAGAAGAAGAGAAATGACTTGTAGAACAGAGTTTTTGGAGTTGGACTGGTGAGACAGTGCTGCCTGTTTTACAAAAAAGTGAGTCATTTTGGTCATTTTCCCAGTTTGGGTTAAATAAAAACCACATTACCCATGAAGAGCAGACAACTGGCAGTAATACTTAAGTGAGTTCATGAGATAATAGTCTGAAAAACTTGTTTAATTTATACAGGTATTTCCACCTCTTACTGAAAAATACTCTTCTAAGGGAGTTTCTTATTGTACATTTCTTTTTTTTTTTTCCCCCCAGAGATTCACTCCCTGTGTAAAAAAAAATCTCCTATTAGAGATGTGGGTCTAAATTATGCTTCTAAATCTTATTAAACTGTTTGTTAACCTTAGCAAACATGTGGCTTTGAAAATTGTATGAACTCAATTTTTAATGAGAAACTGCTTTTCTGAGTCCCTGTACAATTTTCAGTCAGGACAGGAGATTTTACAGCAATAGTACATAATTCACAAGCTCCTGTAAATTGATTTTTCAGCCTTGCAATGATGAATTTTGGCCTGGTGTTTGCTATCCACAGAGCGTGTATTACTGTACCACATTTATCTAAATGAAGGCTGTATTTAAAAGGTATTGTTCTGCTGGAGACTGAATGGAATGTATTTTAATAATCGGGGAGACTAATGACAGACTGCCCTATTCTGTATTGACTGTGTTTATGCATTCCGCAGGTGCTACTGGATCATATACAAATAGAAACCCTCAAAATATTAAACTCCTGGTATTGGCCCTAAGTCTTTCTGACAAAAGACTGGTAAAACACAAGTTAGGGCACAAAGTTTGGAGAGCAACAGAAAATGATTCTGATTTTGAGAATCGCTTTTCATCAGTCATTTAATCAAATTATATAGAAAATATCATGCCCTCCTGTATTCAGCTTCTTTTGCCCCTAATATTTCTAGCAAATTAAATAAACAAACAAACAAAACCCAAACAAAAAAAAAATAGCAAAACCCTACATTAAGAGAGTTTTGATAAGATTATGCCAAGCATCACAAAATTAAGAGCTGCCCAAACAGAAATTCTTCTTGAAATATGGAGCTTTACTTTGTGTGCTCGCTAAAATACATATTTTTAAAGGATTAAATTCTTTATTCTCTCCTTGAAGTTCTGTGATTCCTAAAACAGGACTCAGAGAATAGACAGTTGGTCAATAGGATTTTTTTTTGTCTTCAGTGTATGCTTTCCTTTGTTGTTTATTGTCTTCTGTTCAGCTCAGAAGACAGAACTGTTGATTTCCTTATAAACCCTTACCAGTCAAATATGTAAGTGCTTCATAGACATTAATTGAAGTATCTTACAATCTCAGCTATGAAGTGAGGAGTGCCACCATCATTTAGCACATTAAGCTGCAGTACAAAAAAAATAAGGTGAATGTAACCATTAATACATGTCATAATTCTTGGAGTCCACCAAGGAAGGGAGCCTGTGGATCCCTTACATTTATCACCACATTTGCCACCACCTAGATCTACTGTGCACTGTAGAAAATAATTATTCATCTAAGATATCCTTTTGGAATAAGTAGTATCTGGGCATGTAATTATGTATTGCTATTATTATTGTGTATGCAAAAAGCAAACTTAAATTTTGGCTCTTTCAAATTTTTTGATGGCTATTTTGCAGTAGTACTACTTACAGCCAAGTAATTTCTTTCGTTGTTTATCATTACACTGTGTATTTATTATAGGGCTTTATATGGATTTATTCAGATGGCAACTGTGTAGATACTACTACTGTTTGGTTTTTGGTTTTTTTCTATGTAGCAAAAATGTCTTTTTTATAAGGATGCACAGAAATTTCTCATTTTCATAGGCTCTCTAGTAATGGGTCATCTTTTCTCTGTTCATTTATGACTATTATGTTCACTGTTACAAGACACATATTTTTATTGAAAATTACCTGTGAAAAGGTGAGGAAATTCCTCTGAAAACATCAAGAATGATTAAATCATAGTCTTTAACATCTGCCTTCAGTGAATGCATGAGTTGTCCATAAAATGACAAGGCAAAACTCCCCTCTATTATCTAATAAGTATTGTTTATTTTAAGGCTTGATGCTATGAAATATTTTACCAGTAGTTACAAACCAAGTGCTATTCATGGATTTTCCAAACTCCCTTGAGAGCTCTTGTGTCATTTCCTGACTTCCAAAGTTTTATTAACCAAAAATAGGCTATGCTGTGCATGACAGCTGTGGTTTGGAAAGAAACTGGGCACTCGCTTTCCAGCCGGTAATCCATCAAAAGGAAGATGTTTAAATTCTTAGAAATTTGATAAATTGAAGGCATCCCTGTCTATTGTGGGAAGCAAGTTATTTCAGTCTTCATATTTACAGGAAAATGACTGGCGTGTGTAATCTTGCTGATAGAGTATGGGTATCTTCTTCCCCAGAACATCCACTCTGGGTTAGACACTTTTATTAAGACGTTAATAACTAAGTAACGGATTAGTGATGAAACTTGGATTACTTTCTTACCTAGCAGCAGCTGTTCCATGATTTCAACTTATCTGTTGTGGACGAAGAGGTCTCAATGCTACTGTTCTGGTATTCCTGTGAAACTTTGTAAATCAACTTTTCATTTGGTCTCTATCACAGAAGCATTTAAACCAAACTTCACTGTAGCCTAGACACCCAGAGGATTTCACTGCCTGACGTTTTCCTTCAGAACAGAACCTTTATAGCATGTGAGATAGATGTAATACAATAATTTTATTTTTCTTCTTCTTTCCCTTAGGCATTTCCTGGAAATACAAATTCCGACAGTGTGGTCCGGCATGATTTACAACATCCAGTTATTGCTCGCTATGTACGGATAGTTCCTTTGGACTGGAATGGAGAGGGCCAAATTGGGTTAAGAATTGAAGTCTACGGCTGCTCCTATTGTAAGTTCCCCCCCCTCCCCCGCCAAATCTGTCTTTGGATCTCAGATTGAATCTGAATCTCAAGTGCTTTTTGCTTAGATAGATTAAGATGTTCCAGTATCGCTAGGTATATTGCCCTGGGCTTCATGAAACATTTATTGTAACCCTAACTCTGAGTTTTTATTTTGTTCTTCTCTGGAAGATGCAACATTGGAATTCGTGGTAGTGCTTTGAAGTTGCTCCTTTTGATCTTCATGGTTTCTTCTGCAGATGACTTTGACTATTATATAAGCTTGAACAGGAAAGTTGAGGAAAAGGTAGCATTCAGGCAAATATCATATTAGGTCTTGAGGGGAACAACTGGGGAACAGGATATAATTCATTACCTGGTGCTAGAGATAAAATTAAAGCAAATAAATAAGAATTCTATCAGAGTTGCTCAGATTGTCTGAATATGTGACATGTTTTTCAGAGGTTTTTCCTTTAATATTTGAATATGACTTTAGAATTTCTTTTGAAATCCAGATGAGCAATAGTACAAATGCTTTTGAATTTAAGAGCAGAACTGATTATGTTTTAAGAAAAGCAAGGCTAGTTTCTAAATGCCTGTCCTTGAATTCAGTCCAGCCAGTGCTTAAAGAAAGTCTACAAACCTGCAGAAAATGAAATGTCTGATGTCCTATTTCTAAGTATGTATTTTTTATGCAGTATCCTGTCTTTGTTGGTACTTTAGCTGGAAGGAGCTGTTTGAGATTTGTCTTTTAATAACAAGGTGTTATAATAAGGTAAGGAGCACACATCCAGAAGTCTCGTCCATTGACTTCACTGGGTGACTTAAGGCATATGAGAGCCCTTTGCCACCCTAACTAGCAAAAAAGAAAAACACCTTGTGATTTCAGTTGCTATTTGGGTTTGGATAGGTAGTTAAAAGGCTATCTACTTTCATTTAACACCAAGAAGAACCATGAAGAATTGAGTTTTGGTATTATTTTTCCTATTTCCGTGAAACAAATTAAAGCTTTATTTTAAAAATGTATATTAAACCACAGATAATTTCTCAGTAGCTGCAGTAACTTAGTTGAGAAATCAAATCAAACTTGCTGTTTGTACCTAAATAAAAAGGCTGCCCAATATATTGCAATCATTATTTTTTCAGTTTATAGATTCATATTAAGTATATTATTTATTTAGATATTTTAGAGAGCATATTTTCAGATACAAAAATCAGGTATTTTCTCACAGTCCAAGCAAGGTTTACTTGGGAAGCCATACACTTAGTGACTACAATAACTCTTTCCTTGTGCATTACTGTAACCTGGTCATTAGTTTCAGAATATTAAGAAAAAAACTTCCTCATATTGAACTAGTTATTCAAAAGTTGGGTCATTAATTACCGTGTTTTCTGGTTCCTATTTTGTTTGGGTGTGTGTATAAGACACACTTAATTTTTTTGTACCAGAAGTGAAATCCATCTTCTTCCTTGCCCAGTAAATTAAAGTTAAAAAAGAGGTGTGATTTCCAGAGAGGGATGAGAGCTTACATCTGTTGCCTGGAGAAATTCATAGCATCACAAAATCTTCTTTCTGTTTTGTTTTGTTTTGCATTAAGTTTGAAATCTGGTCTGTCTTTGAAACCGTGCTTTTGTATTTTGTGTAGATGAGATCTGTGGGGTTGTCTTCTAGCAGAAAAGCTCATAAAATTCATCAAAAAATAATTAGAGCCTCACCCTACACCAAGATTCATAATGAACTTTGTATTTTTATCGGTGAATAAATGGTGATATTAAATTTAGAAAAGCTTTTCATTCTCTACAGGGCAAACCTGGCTATGTCTTATTTTAAAAAGTATTAAAATTGGCTAAATAACTTGCTTAATGGCTACACTAGTGGAGGAGTTGCATGAGCAAGACAAGCTTGGAAAACAACAAATAGACTACTATGTAACATAAACAACATTTTTTAGTCAATGGGAGTTCTAGCTTTTATTTTAAAATGATCTATTTCATACACTGTAAAGGGGAATAGGGTCTTTATACTTGCAGTGACATCATTTATCAAAAAGCAAGTCACAGAGAAGAAAGCAATATAACCAAAGGCAAACATTCACCAAATCAGTTAAGTTGAAATGGGTGGCAGATTTTTTGTTCGCTTTTTTGGAGACAGAGAGCAAAGGCACATGACATATATCTTGAACATGTCCACGTTTATGAATTTTTGAGACAGGCAGCAAATACATGGCATCTGGAGGCTATGACATCTACAATATAGTACATTTTACTACTGATTCGTGAAGATCATAATAAGCTCCTGCAGGATCATTGTCATATGAATAGTTCCCTTAATCTCCATCCTGTGGCAGATGAATGCCTACAAAAATGGCAATAGCAACACTATTGCGTAGTCTTTGGCTACGCTTTTCAAGACAACTGCATGAGGCCTTCTAGGTGCTGAAATCCTTTGAGTGGAAAGCACTCCCTGATACCGTTGTTCAGAGAGTTTTTTTGATATGGCTGTGTTGATTTTCTGTGTCTAAACTGTATGTCTGAATCTTTTTGACGTGGTTGTATATCTGATGGTAAGAATTCTTCAAATTCCAGATGATTCACTTCTGAAGTGTAGGATATACTTGAAAAAAAAAATCACTTGGAGATGGCAGGAAATCATGCAAATACTTAGTATACTCAAAGCAAATAGGTAGCAGGAGCAATGACATAGCTCCATGAATGGCTGCAAACTGAGCTATTTCCATTCATTGATCAGGTCTGTTAGCTAATAATTAGGAAGCAGTGGGACTGAACAAATGTCACCTGAGTTGTGTTTGCAGATCTGTTCATTTCAGTTATTAGCTATACTACTTGTATTGTGCTATGTCAAATGTTACTGTTTCAGTTACCTGACAGGTAACATATTTTTTTAGGGAGGGAGGGAAAAGCAGGAAAAATAGTAACCACAGTCTTTAGGGTTTTGTGAAATAATGAATGTTTATAAGGAGAACATTTAGTCTCCAGATAGTAAAGCGAACAAAACCTTGGTTATCTAAACATGTTACAAGAAAAAAAATAAGGTTTGGAGATGCTGTTGAGGGATGAGCCAAGAGAATGTTTGCAAGAACTGATTAGGAAGTATTGAAGTGCTAAAAACTATGGGCTGAACAGATCTTTTGGGTAATCGTTGGTATAGTTAATCCTGTTTTCCTGCAGTGACTTTGACTTGAACCATTGTTTCCTTTGGCGGTTATTTACACATTCAGCTATACTTACTGTTGGGAAATTTTCTGTATTACTTATTTGATATCTCCTTTGCTTGGTTTCATGCTATTGGCACTAACTAACTATCCATCTCTCATTCGCTGTCTCACACGGTTGCCATTCATACTTAATGTGAGCCCCCCATCCTATCCAGAATCATCTATTGCATCCAAACACCAAAGGGACAATTTAAGGTAGATGTGAAAACCGCTATTACTTCCTTTTTGTGGAATCTGATAAAGTTTCACTTGGCCAGATTCAATAGGATACCCTGGACATTTTGTTTCACCAACATAGCCTTTAAAAAAAGAGAAAAAGTACGAGCCAAAGTCCCTTGAAGTGTCATGATTACTATTGGAACATCCTATGCTAAATAAAATACAGCTTTATATATATATAAATGTATGCATACATATTTCTGCTATTACACTTTTGGTACCTATGTGAATATTCACTTTAATGGTGAAGATATTAATGCATTCTGCATAAATGATTCCCTGCCTCTTCTTATGATATTTTATTACTTATAATAAATGTGCCACTAAGTTGTCTGACTTTTCTCACCATCTAAGTGGTAGAACTGCATAAAAATATTAACTGGCAGAAAGAAAGAGCCATTTTGAAGCACAAATTTTGTGAAATCATGATATATTTCTAGAAATTTTATTAAATCTCTGTAAGTAACAGTGCTTTGAATATACAGAGTTTTTAATGTGGGGGGAAAAACACAGAACTGGAACAATTGTTTAGCATAGGTCCCTGTGAACTGGGTAGCTTTGCTTGTGACAGCGGATGGGACAGTTAGCAATTCTGCTAAACATCCAACCTTTTTTCCCCATATAAATGTCAGTATTTTTATACTGGGTAGTTCTGAACCTCTTTAGGTCTATGTGTTTGATCTTTAGCCATCATCTTCACAGCTCAGCAGCTACAAACATAGTGTCATATTCTCTTTCTGATATTAAAAGTGAATGGCTGAATATTTACATCTAAACCATGGAGAGGAAATGAACTGTTGAACTTTTTCTTTGCAAACTTTTAAATAGCTGTTTGAATATATGCTGTATTTGTAAGCTTGCTTCTTTATTAGCATTCTTTCTAGCTTTTTAACATGTGGGAGGGTTTTTTTTTCCTTAAGGGTCATGGAAATGGATACCTTTTATCCTCCATATATTCTCATGTCATGGTAGTCCTTAAACAGTAGAGTTTTGCAATTTAAGGCCAAAAATGCTGTCTTTTTTTGTAACAATTCTCGGTGTGGATTGTTTTCCTCCATCCCCTCTCCAGAAAAAGATGGTTGTGATTGTTCCTACATATATGTTCATATTTTTGGCATGAAAATAAGTGACAGCAGGCTTCAGTCCATTTATTACCTTTGGTTGTTACCAGTAACAAATAGAAGTCTGATTTGGTAGTAGGAATTACTTAAAATGCAAAACGTCTACTTCCTGCATTTTAAAAATATTTAAAAAGATTTAGCATTTGTGTAGTGTGTTAAAAAGACTTCTAAAATCAGAAGATTCAGGCTGAAACAGAAAAAAAAATAATTCTAAACACCTTATTATTTAATTTTAACTCTTTTTTCCCAAATGGAATATTTCAGAAAGATTTGACATAAAGTGAGCTTTTTGTAAAAAAAGTCTTAAGAACATATCTTTATGTTTTATTCTTTACCTTTGCATTAATCTGATGTAATATGATTTTTATTTTTTTTTTGCTCAACTTTTTGAAACGGGAAGCAAACTAAAAAGTCCATTATTTTTCCATTTCTAGT